AAATTTGGAAGCTTTGCTTTAAGCAAATTGTATTCTTTAAAGTGACACTAAACTCAGGAGTTAAACTTTAAAAATGTAATTAAGTACTCTAACTAATAACAAAAATGTATCTTATTTGTGTATCACTCGGCTGTAGACCCTCAAATCATCTCTGAATTGGTGCTGACACTGTCCTTCCTTCTGGAGGGAGGCTACTTTTGTTCCCCCTGGTCCCTGTATGTGTTGTAAAGTAGTCACCGCTCCAAGCTTGCTCCAGTGATGAACTACAATCTTAATACAAATTACTAAACCAAACGATTGTAGTCCATCATTTTAAAAACATTTTACTGTAGAGTGAAATGACTTCATCTCTGCAGTCTTCAGAATAGTGCTGACTCCCCATCTCCTTAATAGACATGTGCGATTCGTTTCGTTACGAATCGAAATACGTACGAATTTTCCTGAAATTGGTAGATTCGTAAGCATACGAAATCCGAATGGCAGTTTCCGAATTATATCCGAAATACGAAATTCCGTTAACGAATTTTGGACCCGAATTTCTTTGAAACAGGAACTAATATTACCCCTGTAAATGAGGTTGAACAACATGACAAGATTTTTTTTTAATCCAAAATACGGATCCGCTGCTGCTGAGAGTTGCATTACAATACACAGGCAGGAAATACGAAATTCCGTTGACGTATTTTCATTCGTTATATTGAAGTTAAAAAGCAAAGTACATTTATATTGGAGTTGATGGTAGTTTTTTTAAAGTCTGAAATACGAAATTCAGATACGGAATCCGTTAACGGAATTCGTATTTCGTTTTGGTTGACCAATCAGAGGTTCTCTTCTGCTGCTGACAGTTGCATTACAAAAACAGGCAGGAAATACGAAATTCCGTTGAAACATTTATATTGGAGTTGACTTTATGGTAGTTTTTTTTTAAGTACGAAATACGAAATTCGGATCCGGAATCCGTTAACGGAATTCATATTTCGGATACAAAAACAACTACCACATAGACTCCAATATTAACAAAGGTATTTTTGCTTTTTAACTTCATCATAACGAATGTTCGTAAAGTTACGAAAATGTGCCGAAACTA